CCCCAAAACCCCAAAACCCCATCGAAGATAGTTTTCTTACTTATGAAATTAAGAGATATATTCCTTCAATATATTTAGTTCATTACTAGCTAGATTTATTAAGAACTTGCTTCTATTTTTACAAAGATTTTTTCTCTAGTATATCTCTTTAGAGATCCTCCTTTTTACGTCTGATAAAGTTGTAATTATATAGAAGGTCTTTAGTAATTTAGTTCATTTATTGCTTTGATTCTTCAGTTTTGGAGTTATTAATGTTTCGCTTTGATTAAGCTGATTTTCTCATTAAATCTGAAAATCTATCATTTTAAACTGTATCAGCCTCCCAGAATTCTAATTTCTGCTTAGATTGATCTCTAATGACTATTTCATTTTATGAATCATAAGAGTTTCCATGATATCTAGACATCTTTGAAAATTTAGTTGAGTAAATTCCACTTTTGTCAGTTTATTTTTCTGCAATGCTCTTCTATAAACTTCCTAAACGGTCTTCATATTCAGAGTCTGCCATTTTTAGAGATCCGTAATTTCTACTCATAAGATGAAGTACTCCATTTAGATATCATTTAGGTTTAGTCATTTCTGGTAAGATACTATTTTTAAAGAAACTAGCCTGTTGAGAGACATTAAGTGGCTTGATTACTGAGCTATTTAGATCTTTCTCAACTTTCCTAAACAGTGCAAGCGAATTTCTTAATTAACTTTAAGTTTTTCTTCTATTATTTATGGTTGCAAATGGATCAGATTCTTTAAGTTTAATTTTCTTACTTATAACTGTTGATTCATTGAATTCATCATAGTTAACGCTGCTTTGATGTTTAGGTTTTTAATAGTTTATTGTATCGTGCTATGAATTTGTATGAAAAGTGCTCTCTCCATAATTTGTAGAAAGTCTATCCTTGATGAATTTATCATTGTATATAGTACAATCTAATCCTCCTCTCATATTTATTTGATTCACTACTCATTCTAAACTGCTGTGAGTCTTAGTTTTGAGTGGCCCAACTAATTCCTTTTGCTTTTCTCTTAACCTTAGTTACTTATAAAAAGCATCTGCCTAGTTCAACTAAGGTGATGTATCAATAACAGTACCACTTTATCTTAGCTGTATTTAAATTAAAACTTTAGCATAAAAATTTATGAAACAAATACTTTGAGAAAATAAAAGGAATATAAGTTTCATAATAATTTGATTCAGCATTAAAATCAAAGTAACTTACAGTATTAGAATTGAGCGATACTCTTGATTAATTATATCCCAAAGATGAGCGTCTAAGTCTTTATTCATCTTCAATAGTTATGAAAGTCTGATTGAAGCGAGTCTAATTCAATTTATCATTATTCTATGACCTATATTTTTCCAAATATTAATCTCTGATTGGTTAGGGCTGAGTTATAGTCTATCGAAATTTAGCTATTTAATGTATGTTACATCTTCAATAAATTAGAATATCCTGTCTTTGTACTTTACTGCCAAATCCTCTCTTTTCCCTGTTCAATAATATTACTAGGTATTAAAAATACTTTTGGTGTTTAACTTCTAAACTTTCTCTTTTTATACAACATTTTACTCGTTCAATAATTTGTCTTGCACATAATAGTTATACATTATTTTATTATTTAATTATGATTTATTTGATATTTAATTTCAAGATTGCCATTAGGGGTTTTGGGGTTTTGGGGTTTTGGGG